AGCGCGTCGAGACCGTGTCCTGAAGTGATCTGCACAGGTGAGTCACGTCAGCATCAAAAGAGCAACGTGCAACCTGTCAGCGCTTGATCACCAATCACAAGTGCCTCTGTGCGTCCTGGGGAGGGACAAAATTGTCGCGCGCCGGAGAGGACTCGACGCCGCTGAGATTGGAGATCAAGCTCTGACAGGTCGCACGTCGCTCCTTTGACGCCGACGTGACTCACCCGTGCAGATCACATCAGGACACGGTCTCGACGCGCTCGGTACGACGCCTGCGACCCGTCTTGGGTCAGGTGGCACGACGCTCATCTCGCCCGCCAGCGCTGCCGTACAGGTTGCCACGACGAGGTCGAGCACGCTTCTATACGCTCGCCGAGCCTTCCTTTCCATCCCATTAGGCAGCCTGGGAACGGTGGCGGTCAGAGGCAAAGCCTACGAGGGGTGGTGGAACCACATGTCACGGCTACTGCCGGCTCGACCCCACGATAGCCTCCGAAGGCTGACTTTGCGGCACCATCATCGGACGATGTCGACGAGTTGGGTCGCTCTCGCGGTAGCCAGATGACCTCTCATTCTAGGAGCATCGGCCATGGCCGCAGGGAGCGCGGGGGAGGGCGCTGGAAGCAACACGGAGCTCCGTTGGAGACGTTTTCACAAGATTAGCGTGTCAGAGTGAAAACTGAAATGGCACTAGCCTCTGGTTCTTCGGGGTAGCGGAGCGCGCAGGCGCAGAGAGCCACAAGCACTGCATGTAAACCCCGTAGAAACACATGCGATCGTAGGTAAATACTCCAGACGGCGTTCACTTTCACGGCGAGTACGTCAGCCGGTGTTTGTCATAACTGTGGTGACGGGCGGCCCCCGCCGGGCCGCCGCCGAGCCCCGCGCCCTGCGCGGCTCTCCCAGCTGGGCTCTCCCCCGCCCCCCCCTCTGGCTCTCCTGCCGCCCTGGCGTCCCGAGCGGCCCCGGCCGGCTGCCGGAGCTAGCGCCCGCGTCGGCGGCATCCGCTCACAGCAGACTCAGCCTCTCGCCGCTGCCGCCGCTGCCGCGGCCGCCGCAGCGGCTGCTGCTGCTGCGGCGGCGGCGCGGTCTGACGGCGCGGCGGCGGGCACAGCGGCGCGCACGTTGCGCAGCTCGAGCTTGCTCGCGGGGATAAGATCGAAGAGGTTGTCGTCGGCCGGCAGGGCGGGGGGCGGGTCCGCGTCGACGAGGGGCAGCACCTACCCTCGGTGCCATCTCGTGAGATCTGGTGCGATCTAGTGCGATCTCGTGAGATCTGGTGCGATCTGGTGCGATCTGGTGCGATCAGGTGCGATCTGGTGCGATCTGGTGCGATCTGGTGCGATCTGGTGCGATCTGGTGCGATCAGGTGCGATCTGGTGCGATCTGGTGCGATCTGGAGAGATCTGGTGCGATCTGGTGCGATCTGGTGCGATCTGGTGCGACTCATGCGATCTGGAGAGATCTCGTGTGATCTCGAGAGATCTCGTGTGATCTCGAGGGATCTCGTGTGATCTCGAGAGATCTCGTGTGATCTCGAGGGATCTGGTGCGATCTCGAGGGATCTCGTGCGAGCCCGTTTGTCGAGACGAGGAGCGAGGTCATCCTATCTCAGCTGCATCTCGGCTGCATCTCGGCTGCATCTCGGCTGCATCTCGGCTACATCTCGGCTGCATCTCGGCTGCATCTCGGCTACATCTCGGCTGCATCTCGGCTGCATCGCCTCGGCGAGGAAGGAGGTCATCATGGCTCGTGCCATCTTCTCGCCGATGCAGCGCTTCGCGCCGTGGCCAAAGGTGACCAGCTCGAACGCCTGCAACGGAAGAGCGGCGGAGAAGGTGGCAGAGGAGGGCGGCGGAGTGCGGCGGAGGGCGGCGGAGGGCGGCGGCGCGCCTCGCTCTGCTTGCGCAGCGCGTCGCCGCGCAGGAACCGCATCGGGCAAAAGGAGGCGGGCTCGGCGAAATAGGCGCCGTCCTGGTGCACGGCGTTCGGGTAGAGCCAGAGCACCGAGCCTCGCGGGATGGTGACCTCGCCAAACCGCACGTCGCGCGCCGCCTTGCGCAGCACCGTGTTGCCGGGCAGCATCGTGTGCAGCCGCACAGACTCGTCGATGCACGCGTTGAGGAAGGGGAGGCTGCTCAGCTCGGCGTAGCTCGGCTCGCCCGAGCAGGCGGCCAGCTCGGCGCGCGCACGCCGCAGCAGCTCGGGCTGCGAATACAGGTGCGCGAGGATCCACGCAAGCGAGACCTGCGCGAGGGAGGTTCCTAGAAGGTTCCTAGAAGGTTCCTAGAAGAGACCTGCGTGTGGGAGGCCGCATACGGTGGAATGAATGCGGGATGACGAATGATTGGTGAGAGAGCTGCGTGTCGGAGACGGCCGGCATGAGATCATCGTACGGACACTACGAGCAAGCAAGAGTCGACCTGCGTGTTGAAGACCGCCGCCATGAGTGTCATCGTCAGCAGTCCCACCACGTCCTCCTCGCTGCTCTTTTCGAGCGCGCCCGCCTGCAGGTAGATGTGCATCACCGACTGCTCGCCCGCGTAGCGCTGCGGGTGCGCCTGCCGCTCCGCGATCTCTTCGCGGAGGCACCTGCCGGAGAGGCCGCTCCTCGGCAGGGGGTTCAAGGACCGAGATCGCGATCTCTTCGCGGAGGCACCTGCCGAGCTCGTCAAAGAAGCCGACGAGCTGGCCGTTTGCAATGTTCTCGACCCACTGGGTGAAGCGGGGGAGGAGGAGGGGCGCGTGGGTCTCGCTGAAGCGGCGGCCGTAGAGCAGCTCGAGGTCGGCGCGGAGCACAAACTCCGACAGCTCGAAGAAGACGAGCAGCGGCCGCGACGGCGCCGGCCGGCGCATCCACCGCTCGCGCACGCCGCGGGCGGTGGTGCGGAAGGAGGGGAGGAGGGAGTCGATGACGGCGCCGCTCTGGAAGAGGGTGGCCACCTTCTTCTGCAGCTGCACGTCCTCCTCCTTTGGGATCCGTGCCGACACGGGAAGCACGTTGATGAGCTCCTGCAGGATCTGCTGCAGGCTGGCGTCCAGGTCGGACAGGACGGCGCGGTTGGCCGCCTTGCCCATCAGAAAGTAGATGGGCGGCAGCACGGGCCACAGGTCGACCTTGAGCACGTCGCCGTACTCTTCCCGCATCTGCACCGTGAACTCGTGCCAGCTGTCGCACTGCAGCACGCCGCGCAAAATCGACCACGGCGACGGCGTTCCCGCCGCCGCCGACGCTGAGGCTGCTGCAGCCTGCTGCGGCGGCGGCGGCCCGGACGGCGCAACGGCGGAAGCCGCGGCGCTCGAGGCGGCGCCGGTCGAGGCGACGCACGCACCGCCGCCGCCAGCGCCAGCACGGGTGTCGGCCGCCGCTCCCGTCGCCGCCGTCTCGGCAGCGGCGTCGCCGGTACCCAGCCGCAGCAGCGGAGGCGGCCGCAGCGGCGGAGGCGGCCGCAGTAGAGGCGGCGGCCTTAGAGCCGGCTGCAGCGACACAGCGAGGCCGAGGAGAGGCAGCATCGCTGCGACGGGGCGCGCAATTGCCTCAGAGACGGTGCTCTTCCGAGGTGCCCAATAGATGAGTTGGCGAAAGAGAATTTTACAAGAAAACTCCCTCGCACGACACTGGGCACAGGACTGGGCACGGGACTGGCTCGCACTGGCACCAACACAGGTACACCACGGGAGCCGCCTAAGCGACTCCTGCGAGGGTGGCGAGGCACTTAGCTCCGTGCACCCGCCCACCCCCGCCACAGGCAAGCTCATTCACAATCTGCTCTGCGATTGCCGTGTGAAGAACGACTGAGATGCGCTGCTTCTGCAGCCCCAGCCAGCTCTTGGTGGTCCAAGTCACCTCATCGAGGTACTGGGCCCGCGTCAGCTTGTTCTGTAGTACGTCCGCCGCCTTCCGGAGGATCTCACGGACCCCCTTTCCGAACCAGGCTAGTGCCATTTCACTCTGACACGCTAATCTTGAAAACGTCTCCAACGGAGCTCCGTGTTGCATCCAGCGCCCTCCCCCGCGCTCCCTGCGGCCATGGCCGATGATCCTAGTATGAGAGGTCATCTGGCTACCGCGAGAGCGACCCAACTCGTCGACATCGTCCGATGATGGTGCCGCAAAGTCAGCCTTCGGAGGCTATCGTGGGGTCGAGCCGGCAGTAGCCGTGACATGTGGTTCCACCACCCCTCGTAGGCTTTGCCTCTGATCGCCACCGTTCCCAGGCTGCCTAACGGGATGGAAAGGAAGGCTCGGCGAGCGTATAGAAGCGTGCTCGACCTCGACGTGGCAGCCTGCACGGCAGCGCTGGCGGGCGCGATGAGCGTCGTGCCACCTGACCCGAGACGGGTCGCAGGCGTCGTACTGAGCGCGTCGAGACCGTGTCCTGATGTGATCTGCACGGGTAAATCACGTCGGCGTCAAAGGAGCGACGTGCGACCTGTCAGAGCTTGATCTCCGATCTCAGCGGCGTCGAGTCGTCTCCGGCGCGCGACAAAGGTACATCCACAGGACGCGCAGAGGCAG